TGTAGCCTAGGGTGGCTCGTTGTTTGCTCCCCAGCAGTTCCCTGAAACACCTGAACACTTCGCTCATAAATCTTGGATCCTGGTCATGGTGGATCATATATTCCCAACCATCTGGAAAACGCGTTCTTCATACGCCTCAGCCACCTCTTGTGCAGTGGTCGAGCTCATCGGCTTGCACATGACATAACCTGAGAACATATCCTGGAAAAGCAACAAGAAAGTGTTGCCCCGGGCGGACTCCGGTAAATGAGTGACGAAATCCATAGAGACAATCTCAAATGGGTGAGTCAGCTCAATGTTCCCGGGGGAGGGCCCCTGGTTAGGGGGGCGCCCCTTTCCGCTTGCACAATCTACACATTCTTTGACGAACGCCTCCACATCCGCATACATTCCATACCAGTAGAAATCTGTCCGGAGTTTCTCATGCGTACGTGTTATGCCCTGATGACCCCCTTGGAAATCCTCATGAGCGTAGTGCAATATGTCCTGCCGTAATGTCTCTGGGACTGCCAATCGTAACATGTCCGTCTGATCTCTGGGTCTCCCCTGAGCGGAGTGATTCAGGCGGAACAACACGTCTCGACTGTCCAACACGAACAGGCCAGTTTCCTTCGAGAGGCGACGTATTTGCGCGCGAGAGAAACTATCCACTTCACCTCGCAAGAACGTCTTGAGGTTTAGCAGGCGGTGATCCTCATCTTGATGCGCCTTGATTCGTCTCCACCTTTCCGCTTGATACTCCAATGGTCCCATCGGATCACTCTGACTTGGATTTCCGCGAGCATGACTCCGGGTTACGGCCGTCATGATCCTAACCGGGGTTGGTAAAGGCGCGGACTCGGGTCCTGGTTGAACACTAGTTGGTTCGCCAGTCGGTGTGGGTCTTCTGAGTCCAGAACGACTACTGGCTTCATCAACTTCTCTGGAATCGAAGACACATATTCCAAGTGCGTCATCTCGGCCGGGTCGGTCACGATCCAGGATTCTCCAGCCGCCAATGGCTTCGAGGTAAGATAGTCGGCCGACTGGTTGTATTCTCTCTTGACATGTACCAACCGGACCGACTTGAACTTTTCTCGTAGGGCACCATACTCTGCTAGTCTCCGTTGCAAATTGGGCTGGTTACAGTTGATCAGCCCTTGCACTTGCGGTATCACGATACGTGAATCTCCGACAACAACCACATCTGGGATGTCCCGCTCGGCTACCATGGTCAGACCTTTGAGTAGGCCATGGTACTCGTTGACAGTGACATCTTCGAGTACGAAACCTTGAGCAGTCACTACCTTCCAACCGGGGAGTTTCCAGATGATACATCCACAGCTGCCCTGACGCGTAGACGTCTTAGCAGCGCCATCGAAACTCAACACATAACCATCAAAGTCCGCTTCCAACATCTCCACGCTGATAACCGGTTGGGGTTTCACTCGCCCCTTGAGTGATATCAGGGATTCAGCTACTTCATCCAAATGCTCACGTGGGGTGATGCCTGTTCCCATAATGGCAGCCAACCCATCCTCGTCGCTCTGAACCTTGTGGACTTCTAAGTCCCAATGGGACAAGATCACTCCCCATCGGACGCTCTTAGACTTCAACAACCAGGACAGGACGGAATACCACGTGTAGACCTTGATCGGGCATCCCCTGACGAGATTCCCGAACACATCCAACACTCGCATGACCGCGATCACCTCCTTCTCTGCTTCGTGATACCTAATTTCGGTCTCATTCAGCACCCGTCCGGTGAACCGTACGGTTAGGATCTTCCCATCATAATCTTGTCCTAGGACAGCGCAGGCCGCCCAGCGATTCGCATGTGGTATGATCACGAACGGTTTGTGCCGGTCGGGGTGACGCAACAGAAACGTAGACACGATTTTCCGCTTGAGAATCTCGAACGACTCTTTGGCTC